CAGGGTCACTATTTCAACAACATCTAACAACAATACAGATCACATCAGAAAAGTTAATAAATTCCCTATCAGCTATCTACTGCTGTGCAACTAATAGCATCTCAAAATGTAGTAGCCTAAAACAGCAACAGTCGTTTGTTTTATTTGCAAATCTCTAATTTATGTAGGAATTGATGAGGTGGTCTCACTTTAGTACCACAGGGCATCACCTAGGGAAGCTCACCTGGGGGCTAGAAGAACCACTTTCAGTATGGTACATTTACAGGGTAAGTATGTTAACATTGACTGTCAGCTAAAGACCTCAGTCAAGAGATCAAGCAATGTATTGCATGAGGCAAAGCTGCTGCAGAAGACCTATTTAAAGTCTTAAAAAAGCAAAGATGTCACTTTGAAGACTAAGATGATGCTGGCTCAAGCCTCATATGTGTAGAAAGATGGACAATGGTGTTTTCAGTAGCCTCATATGCATGTCCAGCCTAATAAGCTGGACAATGAATAAGGAAGACCAAAGAAGAATTGATGCCTTTGAATTATGGTGTTGGCAGAGAATACTGTATATACCATGAACTGCCATAAGAATAAACAAACCTATCTTGAAAGAAGTAGGATGCTCCTTAGAAGAGGAGATACTGAAACTTCATCTTATGTACTTTGGATATGTTATGAGGAGAGGCCAGTCCCTGGAGAAGGACATTATGCTTGGTAAAGTAGAGGGACAGTGAAAAAGAGGAAGACCCTCAACAAGATGGACTGACAGGGTAGCAGCAACCATGGTCTCAAACCTGACAACAATTGTGAAGATGGTATTGTACTAAACAGTGTTTTCTTATGTTGTCCATGAGATCACAATGAGTCAGCCAGAACTGACTTGATGACACATAACACAAACAACAACAACTGTACATAGATCTATAGCTATTGATGAGGATGCCAAGACTGCTGTTTTGATGTGGTATCAATTGAAGAGCACAGAATTCTAGAGAGCTAGAAACAGCACCTTCAGAAGTATATAGACTTCGTTGGCGGATATGTCAAGTAACAACAGCTTCACATTTTTGTACTTTTGTTTAGCAAAGTTTTCTATGATTTTGTAACAGTACTTTTTGACTTACCTTTTTATATCAGGTAGGACTATTTATATTTAATAATATTACATTTTATTATTATTATTGGTTGAGCTTTACATTGCATTTGTGTCAATGCAGTCATTTTTACTGAGTTATCTGCAATGTACCAGGCACTGTACCAGGTCCTGAGGATGAGTCCAGATTCTAGGAAAGAACAAACAAGGAGCTTAATCATTTACACTATGGGGAAACTCCAGATGAAGAAAATACTGAAGTAAATGTGTACTTTTGATGGTATCTGAAGACTGTTCTGTGGCCCTCATTAAAATTTTGTAGAACTAAATCTCCTCTTGGGGTCATGCAAAAGTGGTGAAATCAATAGGGAATAATGCAAACTGTACAAAAACATGCATTGATAATTGCTGTATCTGTCTGATCGCCAATGTTTTGTTCACATCTATAATGCCAGACTGAAGCAGAGTCTATCCTGAAAGGAATTTTGTAATTTTTTTGTATTGTTACTTGGAGGCCAAGATTTGAACTGAGCAGAAGATTGCATCTCTTGGCTAAAGAAATGCAGTCTTTTTTCCAAGATTTCTCCCACTTATCTGTGGTATTTCAGTGATTGACAAACCGACCAAAATATATTTATTTAGGGATTATCTATATTGAAAACTAGACATGGGATTTTTTTTTCAGTCAACATTGAAGTAATATCAGCTGTTTGAACAAAAGGAGAGGTATTTTTCCATTCAATCCTGAATGCTGAGAAGTCTCCAGTTTATATTCAGGAAGACATTTGGTTTTATTGATCCTGCTAGCTGAATAAGTTTAAACTCCTAGAACTAGGCAAGGAGAGGGTTGATTCTCTCTTTATTGTAAAGGTTATTAAGAAGAAAGCAGATATTGAAGTTATTTGTCTTTAGAAAATCCTGTAGAATAAAAAATAAAACCATTTCCATCGAGTCCATGCCACCACATAGTGACCCTATAGATTCAGAACCATTCAAATGTGTTCCAGAAATTTTGTTCAAAGTCAGTCCTTTGATGGCCTGTACTATTTAAAGTACAATGACATTCTGCTGCTGCTTTGTGCTATGTGCTGTTGAGTTCAAACTCAGAGTTTCCAAAGCTGTAAATCTCAATGGGAGCAGAAAAGCTCATCTTTCTCCCATGGCTGGTGGATTCGAAATGCTGACCTTACAGTTAGCAGCCCAAAGCATAATCCACTACGCCACCAGAACTCCTTGATGTTCTTTTGAGAGTATTACTGTGCATAACAACATGCTTTGTTGTAGATGGAAGAAATACCCCTCTTTATAAATGTCCCTTCTCTAATTGATAAGAAATTTTTAAACTCCACTAAAGATGTCGCAATACAATAAGCACAGGACTGTGAACAACGTCCGTGACTTGAGCCTGCTAGCTGCTTCTCCAGAGAAAGAAGAGGCTTTCTGCTCCCGTGAGGGTTTGAAGCCTCAGAAATGCAATACAGGGTCACTATGATTCAAAACTGACTCCACAGCACTTAACAGCAACAAAGGTCTGAGTATGATAAGAACTTCTTAAAGTGTGTCTAACCCAGTGTTCTTGCCATCCAGACAATCAAGAGTTGCAATATGCAAAAGTCTACAACTATTTCCTGCAATTTTTGTACTACAAGCAAAACTGCCCTCGTTGATGCTCACAGATACAAGAGAGTCTATATTTGAGCTGGTAATAAATATGCACTTAAAATATGAATGCCAAGAACTTTCATAATGAAATAACCTTAAACTCTTTCTTTATTTTTCTTTTTGTCAACCTTTCCAGTTTATTCAAGCGTAAAAAAGAGGCATTAAAAATGTTAAATGAAAGGGACGTTGTTGAATTTCTCTTCTTGTTTTGAGTCTGTCCTTGGTACTACCAAGATATTCTGATGTCAAATTTAAATTAAAGCGCCACACCCCTCAGTCAATGCACAAAAGCATCAGAATCATTTCTGTATTCAGAGAAAACCTCAGAAATTAAGCTACTCTTTTTCTGGATCTTGTATAAATGCTAGAATACACCAGTGAGGAAAAATGATAGCCTCCCAAAGACTGTCATATCAAATTGTAGTGTAGTGGGGAAGACAAAGGTCTAAGCAGAAACAAATCCCTGGTGGTACCAACAGTTAGGTACTTGACTCCAAGTCAGAAGGTTGATGGTGCAAACTCACCCAGAGGCACCTCAAAAAGGCCTGGTGATTGGCTTCCTAAAGGTCAGAGTCTTAAAAACCCTGCGGAGCACAGTTCTATTCTGCACACATGAGTCAGAACCAACCTGACAATAACCACCAACAACATTCTGTACTTACCTAGTCCAGCGCCAGACACCTGGTAAGCACTCAACAAGGCAGAAACACAGTAATAAGCACTTTTGTTGCTTTCTGGAAAGCTTTTTGGGATTAATTCTTTGGGGAAATTATATATATATCCAAAGGACAGCCATTTCATTCTCTTTGTAAGATAAATCATGTGACTTCTAGAAATGACCACCATCTTTTTTTTTTTAATGAATTTATGCAAATCTGATCGACTAAAGTAAATGTTTCATAAAACCAATGACTGTTTAAATCGTGGGACTAAATTGTTTGTATATAAATATTACCTTTTATATTCCATTTGAGTTTTATGTAGATGAACACATTACTTTAATGGCCTGCGTTTACAGAGGAAGAGTGGGAGACTTGCTCTCTGTAATCCTCACCAGCCAGATGGCTGCCTTTTCTTGCATGAGATTAAAAGATGTTTCTCATTCACACTATGCTTCGGAGGCAAATTAATATTGCCGGCTAAATTGCTTGTGTTTTTGGAATAAAATTTAAAGAGAAATTTTTAAAGCAATTGGTGTCACAGGTTCTTGGAGCAGATTGCTCTCCAGGTAGAGCAAGCTGGTTTTAAACATTCGGTAATTAATGGAAAGAATTCTGTGTTAATTGACTGCTTCAGGAAAGGGAAATATAATGACTCCTTATTAATCATGAAAAGAGGTGTACAGCATGGAGGCGCCACAATAATTGCTCGAACAGTAGAGAACTGTTAATTAATGAAAAGAACAATGATGTCAGAAATTACCTACATAATGCTTGCTGCTGATAGAGATTCTAAACACATTATTTAGAGGGGAAGTCACAAAATGTTGCCTTAAATAATAGATACATATAGCTTTTTACCATCCAAAATGTAGAGGAAGAAATCTTAAAGTGCTGCTGACAGCTTTGCTTAGGGAAGCAAAAACATCCACCCAGCGCTATATTTATTTCAAAGAAAATGGCCTTATAGTTTGTCTCTGATCTGAGCTTCTAAAATCAAAATCATCCTCAGACCAAAACAAGGTCATTTATTAATGTCATTTAATTTCAACACAATAGGTCATTCTGACTGCTGAGGACAAAGAGGGCAGAAGAGAGTATTTTCCTCTAAACTGAAATAAATTCAATTCCTGGTATTTCCCAGGTAATCTAAAGAAAAATTGAGATTTACTTTGAGGACAGTGTCTTTTTTTAAAATCTAATTTTAAGTCCCTGTGAGAATAGATAGCTTCCATGCAGTTGAACTACTCATTCTCCAGAAAAAGAGACCCAGTTTATTAAAATGCAGGACCACTCTTGGAAGTCAACCTAACAGCAGTTAGAGGAACTCGGCATCATTAGTAGCCACAAGGCCACAGCCTGTTGTGATTACTCCTCTGTGTCTGCAGAGCTCCCAGGCGAGACCTTCCCATCAGCAAGCTAGGAACAGTGACACCACAGGAATCAGGGAACTAAAGGGGGGAAAGTCACCCCTATTTTGCATAAAAAGTCAAGGTAAAACATGGCCTGAATGGATGTGAGTGGGTTGCTTTGCACTTTGGGTCCCTCATTGCAGGGGGAGTAAATTGCTACTGACTCTTCCCTTTCTTTTATTTCAGATGGAATGTGCTGGGACTGCAAGGCGCTCTCCTCTGCCATTTCATTGAGCCCATTTACCTTCATAGCATCATTGTGGGGAGCCTACACCACACAGGGCACCTTTCCCGGGTGATGAGTCACAGGATGGAAGACATTGGCCAGCTACCAACCTCCTACCAGCACAACCGGCCCCTCCTTAGTGGTAAGAAGACACCATCCTGACAGACAAAGATTCCCTTTCCTTTCAGGAGCTGCAGGCAAACCCCAACATTACCAACTGAGGACAGTTCCTACTAGTTTTGGTCAGTGGCTATTTAAGACTTAATGAGCAAAATTACCGCAATTCAAAGACTCAAAGAATAGGGGGAGGGAGAAAAGCACAGTGTCTTTCTGAATGCAGGAATTGTTGCTAAGTGCAGTCGAGTCAGTTCCGACTCATAATGATCCTGAATAGGGTTTCCAAGGAGCAAGTGGTGAGTTTAAATCACTGACCTTGTGGTCCAGTGCTTTATCCTACAGTGCCATACCAGGACTCCTAGTATAGACAACTTTAAAATGTTGTCTATTCCTATATTCAGTACTTTAAAATGCTGACTATAGAAATAGACAACATTTTAAAGTGACTCTGTACTAGGACTTCAGACATTATTGGGTCATTTTAACTGAAGTGTCTAAAGTAGCTAATGAAAATAAGACTCTAATAATTATGTGCCTGTGTAATAGGAGAATAACTTACTCCCTCTGGTGCTACTCTCTAGTAAAAATTTCTGATAAAGATCCAGATGCGTGACATGAATGAAAAAGGAAAGTGGATATTTGTCCATCAATGTTCGTTGCAGCATTTTTCACAATTGGCAAAAGGCGGGAACAGCTCAAAAGGCCTGTAAACAGATGAATGGATTAACACAGTGTGGTATATTCATACAATAGGATATTATTTAGCCAGAAAGAGAAATGATATTCGGACATACACACTGCAATATGGATGAAATTTGAAAACATTATGCTAAAGTGAAAGAAGTCAGATATTGTACGATGCCACTTAAATGAAATATCTAGGACAGAAGACTTTGTGGTTAGCAGTCCAGTGATTATCCTACAGCACCACACCAGGACTGTTGAGCAGTTACTGGGAAGTGATAATAGTGGGGAATGGGGATTCATTGCTTAAGGAGTACTGAGTTGCTGTTTGGGGTGATGAAAACCCTTTGGAAATAGATGATGATGTTTGAAAAATACAGTGAATGTAATTAATGTCTTGGACTCCGACACTTACAAATGTTTGAAATGGCAAATTTTATGACAGATACATCTAAACAATATGTTTAAAGCTTGAATTGTGCTGATGTTATCATTTTTTACCACGGTAAAGTTGTTTATTAAGGGAAAACTAGAGAGGTGGAAAGCCCAGTGTCCACAGACTTCAGAGAGCAGTTCTGAGGACTTAGGATCCTTCTTCTCATGCAGGTCCTGCCAGAGCTCAGGGTTTGGAAGCCCATTTTAGAGGCCGTGAAGTCATTCAACCAGCACTGAGCTGGGAGTCACAAGTCCAGAATTCTCCTCCTAATCTTACCACTTTAACTGTGTCATTTAACTGGGCTGAGCTTCAGCATGCCCACTGTTAAATGGGGCTGACTACTCCTACACACAAGAAGCTCTAGTAGGATAGTGGTTACGAATCAGGCTGTTAACCTAAAGGTCAGCAGTTTGAAACTACCAGCCATTCCATGAGAGAAAAATTAAGGTTTCTGCTCCCATAAAGATTTACAGCCTCAGAAATTCTGTACAGGGTCGCTATGAGTTGGAACCAATTCCACAGCACACAACCACCACCAGCCTGTGTTAGTCTGGAAGCTCTGCTACAACCTGTGCACCACTACCACCACCCGTACACACAGGAGTCCCCAACACGCAGGAGCCCTGGTGTGGCACTGTGGGTTAATGCACTGGACTGCAAAGTCATTTGACCTGCAAGGGCGACAGTTCAAGCTCACCAGCCACTCCTCAGAAAACCTATCCAGGGTTCTATAGGTTGGAACCGACTCTACAGCACTTAACAACAACAACCCCTACACCACCTCTCCTTCTACAGCCAAGAGGCAAGGATCAAAAGAGTGACAGGAATATGAAAACACTTTGGAAGCTCTACAGCTCTGTATTGTTGTTGTTATGAAGTGCCAGTGCCGTCGAGTTGATTCTGACCCTTAGCAACCCTGTGTAGGGTTTCCAAGGAGCAGCTGGTGAGCTTGAACCACTAACCTTGCAAGTTCAAATGACTTTGCAGTCTGACAATTTAGCCCACAGCGCCACACCAGAACTCCAAAGCTCTGTATTGGTGGTGGTGGTGGTGGTGGTTATGTGCCATGGAGTCTCATAGCGACCCTGTACAGGGTTTCCGAGGCTGTAAATCTTTACAGGAGCAGAAAGCCTCATCTTTCTCCCACGGAACAGCTGGTAGTTTCAAACTGCTGACCTTAAGGTTCGCAGCCCGATTCGTGACCACTGCACTACCAGAAAGCTCTGTATTAGGGGGTTCCAAATAGTTCTTGGAGCCCTGGCGTGGTGCTCAATGACTCGACGACACTTAACAAAAACAACAAAAAGTTCTTGGCTAAATGGAATTAAAAGAGAATAGAAATTTTCCACAAACTTTTTGAAGCCCCCTTGTGTCAGCTATCAAGGAGAAAATGAAGTCAGGTAGGGTTTTGGAAAGGTGACACTTCATTTAAGTTACCTTTGAAGGTTCATGGAAACTGATTGGAGCTGAAAGGGAAAGAACATTTCATTCTAATAACATCCTATAAGCTTCCTCCTATTGGAGGCCTAGAGGAAAACATTCAAAGTTTGAATTGTGTCCTTAACTTGAGTTAGAGCTACAGAAGTTAGGTGGGAACCTGAAGAAGTAGAAAAATCTACTGCCTTGGGGACAGCTGGTTCCTGAGTTGATGGTCTGGTAAAATCATAGCAATAACACAAATTGGCTTTCCTGGTTTAAGTCTTAAACAAATCACTTGAAAAAGAAAACAATAAAATAAAAGAGCTATTGTGTTGTGGTTTAGAGTTGAACCTAAGATCTGTTCCCAGGTTCCTAAAATTGTTGTAAATTATACAATCAGTGGTAATAATAAGTGCCTTGTGGGGCAGTGCTAAGGATTAAAATAAGTAATTCTTGGAAAGCATTTAACCATGTAAAGCAAGTATTCAAGAAAAGATACCTCCTCTAACAAAGGTGATTGCATTTCTTCATTCATTCTACAATATTTAACAGTTAATAATTGAAAGCCTTCTATGTATGACTGTAGAATATGAGATCACAGATATAAAAGCTAAAACAGGGAAAGCAGGAGAAGAGAGTTCTTTAACATATTAAAATCCCAGGCTTTCTTTTACACGTGAGACCCTATTCCTAAAACCTTAAGACGCTGTTCCAAGAATCATCTTTTTTGTTAGCAAGGGAGGTGGGACTTTGTGGTACTCAAGCAGGGAATTTAAAATCCGCTCACTATTGGAAAGCTCTTCGTGCCATCCTCAAATCCATTTCGTCACATTAGATTACAGAGGCTTGCATATGTCCATTGATGGAGAACTTGTAGTCTATCTTAGTGTACTTCACTAAGTACACTTAATATGCACGTGGCATTTTAAATGGGTTGCAGATGACATACATTTCAAAGGGGAACCACAGTGTTAGTCCAGGAAACAGTCAACATCCATTTTTACTGTTGTTAACACTTCAACTTTTCTTTAACTAAGGCTACATGTTGGTATCATGGTTAGTTATTGTCCAACTCATGGCAACCTTATGAATAAAAGAACAAGCCTTGCCTGGTCCTACATCATGTTCAGGATTGTTGGTGCTCTTGTCCATTGTGGCCTCTGTGCCTGAACATTTAGAGCACATCTTCCAGCACAATATTTTGCTGTGAATCATGGCAGTTTTGTTGACTAATTTTTGGAAATAGATTTCCAGCTCTCTCTTCACTGTCTTAGTCTGGAAGCTCCCTGAAACCTGTCCATCATGAATGACCCTGCTGGTATTTGAAATACTGGTGACGTAGATTCCAGCATCATAGCAACATGAAAGGCACCACGGTACAACAAACTGGTTGAATGGTAGGAATCAAGAGTGGCGCATAGCAATTTGACTCAACTTTCACTCTGTATACAGAATCTTGTTTAAAACATGAATTTGATTATCATAAAGACACAATATTATTGTAAAGATAAAGGATGGCCAGACTTTGTCTCTCATACTTGGGACATATTCTCAGGAAGGACCAGTCCTTGGAGGACATCATGCTTGGTAGAGTGGTTGTTGTTGTTGTTGTCATGTGCCGTGGAATTGATTCCGACTCATAGTGACCCTGTAACAGGGTTTCTGAGGCTGTAAATCTTTACGGGAGCAGAAAGCCTCATCTTTCTCCCACGGAACAGCTGGTGGTTTCGAACTGCTAACCTTGCGGTTCACAGCCCGATTCATAGCCACTATGCTACCAGAGATCCTGGTAGAGTAGTAGATCAGTAAAAAGAGGAAGCCACATACACCTCCCAAGGAAGACCTCCAAGGAGATGGATTGGCACAGTGGCAGAAGCTCTGGCCTCCAGCGTAGCAGCTATTGTGAGGATGACTGACTGTTCGTTCTATAGTGTAGAAGGTCACTATGAGTCAGTACTGACTCGATGGAACCTAACAACAACAGCAAAGATACAGATGAGTCTAAGCCTTGGTATCTCTTCCACATGAGGCTCCTAAAGGGTAACTACATCACTCTTGATGGACATTGAAGAACCATGCATATTTTGAAAAGAAATCTTTCGAAGTTTTCGCAACTTTTTTATAAGAAAGAGAGATCTTGGGTAATGATTGTAATAAAAAGCACAGGAAAATAAGCCAATAAAATTTGTTTGAATCTTCCCTCAAGGTCAGTTTTCAGTGTTGCCATAGAATATGAAGCTCATGTCTTAGTAGAAAGAAGACCTGCAATTTAGATATGACGCTATCAGTCCTGGTGTGGCGCTGTGAGTTAATGTGCTGGGCTGCAAGGTCGGATTGAACCACAACCTTGAACAAAGTCACTGCTCGGAAATCCTATACAGGGTTGCTATGAGTCAGAACTGACTCAATAGCACTTAACAACAACAAATCCGTTCTGTAGCCAAGTGAAAAAGATATCCTTATTGACACAGTGAAACAATGCATGT